GTAGAATTCGCTAAGAGCCTTCAAGATACGGATTTCTTGTGACTGGAAACGACGAACTCATGTTGTTAGAACATGACGAGCCTACGTCGTATTCAGAGGTTGTGGCGAGTTCCGATTTCGAGAAATGGCACCAAGCCATAGAGTCTGAGATGCAATCCATGTACGACAACAAAGTGTGGACTTTGGTCGAATCGTTCGATGGTATTAAGACCATTAGATGCAAGTGGGTTTTCAAGAAGAAAACCGACATAGATGGCATCGTGCATACCTATAAGGCACGACTCGTCGCGAAAGGGTTTCGGCAGATTCATGGTATAGACTATGATGAAATCTTTTCACCAGTCGTGATGCTTAAATCCATACGGATTCTGCTAGCCATAGCTACGTATTATGATTACGAGATATGGCAGATGGACGTCAAGACCGCATTCCTTAACGGGAATTTGCTCGAGGATGTGTACATGACACAACCCGAGGGTTTTGTCGATCCTAAGTGTCCGAGGAAGGTGCAAGCTTCAGATTATGGACTGAAGCAGGCTTCGAGGAGCTGGAATCTTCGATTTGACGAGGTAGTCAAAACGCCGAGGAAGGTGCAAGCTTCAGATTATGGACTGAAGCAGGCTTCGAGGAGCTGGAATCTTCGATTTGACGAGGTAGTCAAAACGTTTGGCTTCCTGCAAAACGAAGATGAGCCATGCGTTTACAAGAAGGTCAGTGGGAGCGCAGTGGTGTTCCTTATACTTTATGTGGATGATATATTGCTCATCGGAAATGACGTTCCCACTTTGCAAGGAGTAAAATCCTGGGTAGGATCGGTCTTTTCAATGAAGGACTTAGGAGAAGCCGCCTATATTCTAGGAATCAAGATCTATAGAGATAGATCGAGAAGGCTTCTTGGTCTAAGTCAGAGTACATACATTGACAAGGTCTTGAATCGGTTCAAGATGCAAGACTCCAAGAGGGGTGCCTTGCCAATGGGACATGACGTGGCTCTTAGCAAGACTCAGTGTCCAAAGACAGAGGATGAGCAAGAGCGCATGAGTAGGATTCCATATGCCTCAGTAATTAGATCCATCATGTACGCCATGTTGTGTACTCGTCCGGATGTATCATATACATTGAGTATGACTAGTAGATATCAGTCTACACCAGGTGAGGCTCACTGGATTGCGGTCAAGAACATCCTTAAATACTTGAGAAGGACTAAGGATTTTGTTTTTGGTGTATGGCAGACTGGAAGACGAGCTCGTTATAAGGGGTTATACCGATGCTAGTTTCCAGACCGACAAAGATGACTTCAGATCGTAGTCAGGTTACGTTTTCTGCCTGGACGGTGGGGCTATTAGTTGGAAGAGTTCCAAACAGCTAACCGTTGTAGATTCGACTACAGAAGCCGAGTACATAGCAGCATCGGATGCAGCTAAGGAAGCTGTTTGGATCAAGAAATTCGTGGGAGACCTGGGCGTCGTTCCTAGCATTGCAGATCCCATTGAGTTGTACTGTGACAACAATGGTGCGATCGCACATTAAGGAACCCCGGTCACACCAGAGATCCCAACACATACTTAGGCGATTTCACTTGATCAGAGAAATCATCGACAGAGGAGACATGAAAATAAGAAGAGTATCGACTGATGATAATATTGCCGACCCGCTGACGAAGCCTCTCCCTTCGATAAAGCATGATGGTCATGTTATGGGTATGGGGATTAGTTGCTTGTAGGATAGATCATAGAGCATAGTGGGAGATTTTTGGTTGTAATGCTCTACGATGATCCGTGATATGACATTTTGACTATGTATTGATTCATTGGTTTATGAATGCATTACTTTTCCCGTTATATGATTGGCATGTTTGTTATGTTTCGGTAGATATCCATGAATCATTGGAGATGATTCTAAACTCCCTGGTCAGTTGTCATTGTGGGAACAATGATGAATTAAGACCAGCATGATATGTGATTGATGATGATGATCGTATGCATTGGATGCAGATCACAATCATGGGTACTCATTTGGAACGAGTGACTGGATGACCCGCATGAGATTGTCATATGGACATGAGTCATGACTTGAATCTCATACAACGGTTCGTCTTGGATCCTCAGACCTGAGATGTCTAGAGTATCTGATATGAGGAGTGGCGTGTCTTGACTGCGTCAAACGTCGTCTTTAACCGGATAATTATAACGGGGTTGATCAGATACGTTCACGAATCATATGGAGATAGTACACATGCAATATGGGACTTGTCACCTCCTTAATAGGAGAGATGTCGCTAGGCCCCTCGTGGAAATCAGACTGCGAAAATGCGTGGCCACGCTATAGATGAAGTTACATCTATTTTATCAGTCGATTTGCCAAGACGAGTAAGCGGTTGAAGGGTGGCTCATACCATGCCCTTGTTCAACATATTACATCGTGAGACAAAGGATCAGAACTCGAACTATTGCTGGCTTTGTTAGATCACCTCTAACTCTATTCTAGGTGGGTGGTCATGGCGTCTTGCTAGAGGTTAACCATGACTTGTGGTTCGGGAAAGGGTTTCCGATACAGGGTCACACACCATTAGGGATGGATCACACGTGAAGAGAACGACGCGAGAAGGAACGACGGAACGAGCTGGAAGGGTTCCAGACAGTCCAGCTGTGTTAGTCCGTCCGTTCTGCTGAGGAACAGACCGACCGTTCCGCGAAAGCAAGATCGTCCGGTCCAGGCGTGCAGACCGTCCGTTCTACGTAGAGAGACGGACCGTCCGTTCCACATAGGTCTGGACCGGACGGTCCGACTTTCGGAAAAATTTCCTTTTCGCGATTTTTAGGGTTTAGGTAATTCTATTAATGATGGGAGCCGCCACAAACCCTTGGTAATCAACCAAACACGTCCTAGACACTTCCTAGTGCCTTGGAGAAGCTTTCTCTGGAGTTCTAAACCCCGGAATATCGATTCCAAGTCAAGGACACAAATCCTAGCAGATACGTTCCAAAGTGTTGGAATTCATCCCGCCGGTGTGGTTACGTGTAGAGGAGTTGTACTTTCAACTCTTGGTGATTAAAACAGGCCTTGGATCGATTGATACTTCCAGATCTTGATAGAACGAGGTAAGCACTCGAATCCCACGGTGATATACACGTTCTTTCGTGTTATTGCACAATTGGTTTTGTGTGATGTTTGGCTAGGTTTAGATCTTTTTCTTCCCTTCATGAAACCTAGAAACCAAACCCTAGATCGATGAGATCGCATGCTAGGAACCCGCAGGAAACCCAACAGTGGTATCAGAGCCTGGTTCTCTATATATCGCCGTGCCTGTTGCTTGTTTGCATGATTTTAATTGTTAAAGTGCATGTAAACAATTGATCTTTGTTTGTTTGCATGATTTTAAGTGTTAGAATGCAAGTAAACTATAGATCTTTGCATTTTTCCATGGTTTTAATGGTTAGAATGCATGTAAACATTAGATCTATGCGTGTTTGATGATTTTGATTGTTGAATGATGCATGGATGAGCGAGGGTTCTTGGGAGGCTTGACGGTGCATCGAAACGGGGATGAAAACCCTAGTTTTCGGGACTAAAAACCGAGATCCGAAGTCTGTCCGTCGTGTGGACCGACCGGTCTAGAGTGTAGACCGATCGATCTACGCATGACGGAGGGTATTCCTTTTTAGGTCAAATTAGGTCAGACCGACCGGTCCAAGGGTTAGACCAACCGGTCTGGACCGATGACCATAAGAGGATTTCAGATCACATTCATCAGACCGCCCGTTCTGTCTGTCCGTCGTGTGGACCGACCGGTCTAGAGTGTAGACTGATAGGTCTACGTGTGACGGCAGATATTCGTTTTTAGGTCAAATTAGGCCGGACCGACCGGTCCAAGGGTTGGACCGACTGGTTTGGACCGATGACCATAAGAGGATTTCAGATCACATTCGTCAGACCGCCCGTTCTAGTCTTCAGACCGATCGGTCCAGATCTGGTGGAACGTTCGGTCTTCGGGGTCTCGGGAGTCTCCTTTCTTCTAGTCTTTGGACCGATCGGTCCAGGTCTGGTGGAACGTTCGGCACGAACCCAAGAGTTTAGGTACTCCTCCTCAGATTTTTAGAGTAGATCTAAAAGTCTCAAAACTCACCTTTGCTTCCCCTAAACTCTCGTATAAAAGAGATCAAGATTTCTAGCCCTAGCAGACGAGTTCCAAGCGTTGAAATTCATTCCGACGTGTTGATAACACGATTTTCTCCTCTATTTCAAAGTCCATTGTCTAGCACTTTCGCATCGGTTTTGTGTATTATTAGACATTTAGGATCATTTTAGCACTGGATTTTGTTTCCTTTGCATTCTCTGGTAATTGAACAGGTAATAGACGCATTATGGGCGCCAGAGGAATATAATCGAGGACTTCAGAGCATATTGGACCAGAAAGGAACGATAAAGACATATCCAGCTCGAGTTGTACTTGAACACGACCATGTCGAGTTCAAACACGGTCGTGCAAAGGCAAGAAAACGAAGACATTCTTACAGATATTTGACACAGACCGTGTCGATATGCAACACGGCCGAGTCGACTTGGAACTCGCCTGTGTCTAGCCCGTGGAGAAGCACAAAAGTTTTGATCAGACAATTGACAGGACTGTGTTGACATTCGACACGGCCGTGCTGCATTTCGAGAAAATTTCCTATTTTTGCATCCAAACATCTGTTTTCGGAAGGGAAAGAAACCTAGCTGCCAAGGAAATAAATAGAGGACGTCTTAAGCTTCAGAAATCATCGAGATATCACATCAGAAGCCAGAGAACTCGAGAGAGAATCAAGACGGAGTTTCCTGGAGCAGAGATTGAAGGATCGTCATCGAGAGATCGCTGCGAGTCTTCTTTATCTGTTTCTATATTTCTTTTTATTGATTTGTACTCGTTTGTTGTTATGGGTCATGAGTAGTCGTTTCACTGTAACTACGGATTTAACCTTGTAGGAATTTGTTTGGTTTTTAGTTTCCGAGACTACGTTATGGAGTTGACTATTCCATGTGTTCGACCCTGGTACTACAGTTGATCCGTATATCCTTGCGGTACTCGTTGTATCTAGGTTTTTATTACTTGAGCTTATTTTTACACCTAGATTTACGTTATCAAGTTTGTGGCGCCGTTGTCGGGGATTAGCTTAGCACTAGGATAGAGATTCCTTTGAATCTAGATCCCTTCTCGTTTACTTTTATCCCGTCCCTGATCTATTCTAGTTCTTTGTCCTATTTTTCTGGTGTGTAGGTTTTCTCAGTGTGTGACCAAGAGTTCTGGGTCTGACAAACTAGTCCCTCTTGATCCAGAAATCGAGAAATCCGCCAAATGCATTCGGAAGAAGAAGAAACAACAGAAGAAGATGGAGGAACGTGCTTTAGCTGTCGAGAATGACGATGACACTTATGGGGCATATCTTCAACCCAAGTACATTCAACAGCTCTCATGCATTCGTCGGCCCGATATAGATCGCAATAAATTTGAATTCCAGCCGGCATTCATCAGTATGCTCAGCTCATCGGCATTCAGGGGCAGACCTAATGAAGATCCAATTCTCCATCTGACCCGATTCAAACTACTATGCCAGTCTGTGAAGACGGTTCAAGGAGTCACCGATGAGTCACTTATGCTAATGGTTTTTCCATTCTCTCTAATGGACGCTGCGTTAGAATGGCTCTACACATTGCCACCAGATTCCATCTTCTCTTGGGATTAGATGCAAGAGAAGGTCATGCAGGGATTCTTCCCCGCTAGCAAAGCAACAAATTAACTCTTTTATGCAGGAACCTGATGAATCTTTACGCGAGACTTGGGACCGTTTTCTTGGATACCAGCGGCTTTGTCCTCATCACGGATTAGACAAGAGGTATCTTATCTCCACCTTTTTGCAGGGTCTAAAGGAAGATACTCGAGTCCTCATTCGAGTTGCTTGTGGAGGAAGCCTCAATGAAAAGTCTTTCGACTTCATCGAACAACAAATCACTAAGATGGTTAATGAGTGTGCCCCTTCCCACGAATTCGTCAGAAGTATTAGTTTTTTTAAGGATAACCGTGCAGGTAAGGAAAGTCAATCCGAAATACACGCTTTACGTGCAGAGCTAGCCAAACTTAGAATGCAGGTAGAAAACGCCTATCAAATCACTGATCTGGACGCATCACGAGACGAGTACGTGCATGAAGACTACGTCGTCAACAATCCGTACTCGAACACATACAATACAGGTTGAAGGAATCACTCAAATTTCTCATACAAGAACTCCTCCAACGCTCTAAATGCTCAACAAAACAATTTCGGCGGTTCATCTATTTCGGGTTCTTCTCAAGGGAATCAATCTCAACCCCGGAATGCCTACCAACATCAGAACTAGGCCCCTCAACACTACAGAGCACCCTGTCAGCCTTAGCAGAATTTCGGTCTGCCTCCGCCTCAATCACAGGTAAGTTCTGACCCCGACATCAAGTCTATGCTCGCACAACTTATGTAGGGTCAAGAAACCATTCGCACCGAGATGCGAGAACATCAGCAAAAGACCGAGGCCCATCTCAAACTGGTTGACAACCAGATAGCGTAACTTGCTGCCTCTATCCCTTCGCGACCTCAGGGATCACTTCCCGGGAACCCGAAAGCAAACCCCCGAGAGCACTGTAATGCTATATCCTTGCGAAGTGGCAAAGAGCTCGTCAATCCTATCATCACATCTACAGAGAAAGGTCAGTGCTCTAACTCTGTTCCTACATCTTTTCCTGACCCCATAATGGCTGAAAAATCGACAGAGATATCGGGTGATGAAGAACGCGACGTATACATACCACCGCCACCACATCCACCTCCGGTTCCTTTTCCTCAACGACTCAAGAAAAATAAGGAGGACACCCAATTTGCCCGATTTGCTGACATGGTGTGTAAGTTGAAGATTAATATGCCATTTCACGAGGTTATTACTCAGATGCCATCCTACGCCAAATTCCTGAAGGACATTCTCACAAAGAAACGAGTCATCAAGAAGGAAACCATCACGCTCAATCCCGAGTGCAACGCCATTCTTAAGCACGATCTACCACCAAAAATGTCGGATCTAGGTAGCTTCTCGATTCCTTGTAAATTGAGAAATGTTTCTATAGATCGTACTCTTTGTGATTTAGCTGCAAGTGTAAGTCTCCTACCACTCTCCATCTATAAGAAACTCAGCGTGGGAGAACTCAAACAAACTCGCATGGCTCTTCAACTAGCTGATCGTTCTGTCAAATATCCTCTGGGTATTCTTGAGGACGTCCCGCTGAAAGTCAGCGATTACTACGTACCGATCGATTTCGTTGTGCTTGACATGGACGAAGACTCCAAAATCCCGATTATTCTAGGGCGGCCGTTCTTAAACACTGCAGATGCCATTGTCTACGTTCGTGCCGGTCGATTGACACTCAAGATCGGCGACGAAACGTTGGAATTCAAGCTCGATCAAAATTTCAAGCAACCATCTACAGTGGACTCTATATGTTACATTGACCCTGCTGAAAGTCGGCGATTTCTATGTACCAGTCGATTTCGTTGTGCTTGACATGGACGAAGACTCCAAAATCCCGATTATTCTAGGGCGGCCGTTCTTAAACACTGCAGATGCCATTGTCTACGTTCGTGCCGGTCGATTGACACTCAAGATCGGCGACGAAACGTTGGAATTCAAGCTCGATCAAAATTTCAAGCAACCATCTACAGTGGACTCTATATGTTACATTGACTTGATGGATGCTTTAGCTGATGAGGTACTCTTTGAATTTCATAATTTCGATGCCCTCTCTATTGCTCTTTTTGCTGAACAGGGTTGCAGTACGTTCGTGCCGGTCGATTGACACTCAAGATCGGCGACGAAACGTTGGAATTCAAGCTCGATCAAAATTTCAAGCAACCATCTACAGTGGACTCTATATGTTACATTGACTTGATGGATGCTTTAGCTGATGAGGTACTCTTTGAATTTCATAATTTCGATGCCCTCTCTATTGCTCTTTTTGCTGAACAGGGTTGCAGTGCCTTTACGGAGCCTCAAATTCACGCATACACGTCGTTCCTAGACGGTTTAGACGAAATACCACGCAACACGGCGGTGTCGAATACTAACACGAACTGTGTCGACAACCAACTCAGACCGTGCTTCATTCAACACGGTCGTGTCCACATTCAACACGGACCGTGTCAATTGTCTGAGCAAAATTCCAAGAAGGGACACGACCGTGCACAATCGCGAGCTTGCCCGTGTGCAACATGACACGGCCGTGTTGGGTATCAACTCGGATCGTGACGAGTCTCAGACTCTATTCGAGCCTTTTCCACCATTCGATCCCTTGTCCGTCTTCGCCATCACATCAACCTCCACGAATCCTCTGCTTGATTGGGATCCTGTAATCGCTCCGAAGCTCGAGCTAAAACCCCTGCCCATTGGATTCAGGTATGCATTTCTTGGTCTCGATTCCATTTACCCTTTATCGTCAATGCTGTCTTGGATGATCTATAGCTCGGGCGTCTCCTCACCACATTGCGGGACTACCGGAAAGCTATCGGGTACACTCTAGATGATATCAAAGGTCTAAATCCTTCATTATGCATGCATCAAATTCATCTGGAGGACGATACCAAATCATCCATCGAACATCAACACAGACTCAATCCATCGATGAAGGAAGTCGTCAAGAAAGAGGTATTAAAACTTTTGGATGCAGGTATCAACTACCCTATATCCGACAGCCCTTGGGTTAGTCCGGTTCAAGTCGTCCCTAAGAAAGGCGGTATGACGGTGATAAAAAAACGACAGGAATGAGTTGATACCGACAAGAACAATGACAGGCTGGCGTATGTGCATCGACTACAGGAAGCTGAATGCGAACACTCGCAAAGATCACTTCCCTTTACCTTTCATTGATCAAATGCTTGAATGTCTTGCTTTTCACTCTTATTTCTGTTTTCTTGACGGTTATTCGGGATTCTTTTAAATCCCCATTCACCTTAATAATCAGGAGAAGACAACTTTCACTTGCCCTTATGGGACCTTCGTTTATCTGCGCATGCCATTTGGACTTTGCAACGCCCCTGCTACTTTTCAACGGTGCATGATGGCAATCTTATCCGACATTATTGAAGATTCGATGGAAGTCTTCATGGATGATTTCTCTGTCCATGGGCCTTCCTTTGATGTTTGTCTGACTAAACTGCGTCAAGTTCTGGATAGATGTTTGCAGCCCAATCTAGTGCTCAATTGGGAGAAGTGTCACTTCATGGTACATGAAGGCATCGTCCTCGGACACAAGATCTCCGACAAAGGCATCGAGGTTGATAAAGGCTAAAATCGAAGTGATCGAGAAATTACCACCCCCGCACAACGTTAAAGCCATCCGAAGTTTTCTTGGTCACGCTGGTTTCTATCGTCGCTTCATCAACGATTTCTCCAAGATCACCAAACATCTCATCTGATCTCTTCTGTAAGGATGTGCCTTTTGTTTTCACTAATGATTGCCTTGCAGCATTTGAAACACTCAAAAAGGCGTTGATTTTCCCGCCCATTATTCAACCGCCAAATTGGGATCCGCCTTTCGAAATTATGTGCGACGCCAGCGATTATGTAGTAGGAGTCGTGCTTGGACAACGATGGAATAAAGTTCTTCATGCGATCTACTATGCCAGCAGAACTTTGGATGATGCTCAGGTAAACTACACTACGACTGAGAAAGAACTGCTTGCCGTTGTCTTTGCATTCGAAAAATTCAGGTCCTACCTTGTCGGATCCAAAGTCATAGTCTACACCGATTACGCCGCTCTGCGATATCTACTCTCCAAGAAGGATGCTAAGCCGCATCTCATCCGTTGGATATTGCTTCTTCAAGAGTTCGACCTTGATATCCGGGACAAGAAAGGAGCCGAGAACGAAGTAGCTGATCACTTGTCACGCCTTGAACTTCCAGAGCCACTTCCCATTGATGACAATCTTCGAGATGAGCATGTCTTCACCATTTCTACTCTTCCAGAAGCCCCGTGGTATGCTGACTACGTAAACTACCTGTTTAGTAAAATTCTTCCACCAGATCTGAGTTACAATGCCAGGAAGAAATTTCTCCACGATGTCAGGGACTATTATTGGGACGATCCTTTCCTCTTCAAGCGGGGAACAGACGATCTATTCCGTCACTACATCCCAGAAGGTGAGATTTTCAGTGTTATTTCCCATTGTCATTCTTCTAACTACGCAGGTCACTTTGCGACATCCATAACCGCAACCAAAATCCTATAGGCTGGCTTCTATTGGCCTACTCTCTTCAAAGATGTCCATAGGTTTGTTTCTTCATGTGATGCTTGCCAGCGTACGGGTAATATATCCCGTCGTCATGAGCCTCGACAATATATTCTTGAGGTAGAACCATTTGATGTCTGGGGAATAGACTTTATGGGACCTTTCCCATCTTCTTGCGGAAACTTGTACATTATGGTTGCAGTTGACTATGTGACCAAATGGGTGGAAGTCCTGGCAAGTCCCACCAACAACAACAAGACCGTAGTGCACATGCTCAAACGCACGATTTCCCACGATTAGGTGTTCCCCGTGTCATAATCAGTGATGGCGGATTGCACTTCATCAATCGCACGATCAAAGCTCTCCTGCTTAAATACGGTGTCAAGCACAAGAATACAACGCTTTATCTCTCAGACCAGTGGAATGGTAGAGGTCTCCAACCGCGAGATCAAGTCCATACTCGAGAAGATGGTATCCAGATCCCGAAAAGATTGGGCCCTCAAGCTCGATGATGCCGTTTGGGCATATCGCACGGTATTCAAAACCCTCATTGGGATGACACCGTTCTAGCTCGTCTACGGCAAGACATGCCATCTTCCCGTGGAATTGGAGCACAAAGCTTATTAGGACATCACGCTGTTGAACTACGATCTCAAATCTGCAGCCGTGAAACGAGTTCTCTCACTCCATCATCTTGAGGAAATCCGGCTTGATGCGTATGAGAACGCAAAAATCTACAAAGAGCGGACGAAGAAATGACACGACAAGCATATCCTCCAGCGTAACTTCCATATAAACGATCTTGTCCTTTTGTTTAACTCACGATTGTGACTTTTTCCAGGAAAGTTGAAATCCCGATGGTCTGGTCCGTTCAAGATCAAATACGTTTCACCAAGTGGTGCAATCGAACTATGGGATCATTCTGGAGGTTCATTCAAAACTAACGCCTGAAGCTTTACAATCCTGCATTCCCATCGGACGAGAGAGGAGCCATCGCCCTCTCCGACCCCGCAGAGTCGTGAACCTTTGCCAGGTCCAGCTAACGACCTAAAACAAGCACGTGTCGGGAGGCAACCCGACCCCATATCCTTATTTTACGTTTTGTTTCTTTCCTCTTTTCTTCTTTGTTCTTTCTACCTGCTCGCTGCTATATCTACTTTCTTGGTCCGATTTTGACTATTTCAGGTTTCACGTGTCGCCGGATTATTCATCATTCAACACGGCCCTGCTTGGTTTGGATAAATTTCAATAGACAATCTGCACGACCCGTGTCGAATCAAACACGACCGTGTTCGATTGTACAGATTTTGGACAGACAATATTCACGGTCCGTGTCGAATCAAACACGGCCGTGTTCGATTGCACAGATTTTTTTACAGAGAATTGACACGACCCGTGTTCTTCTTCAACAAGACCGTGTTCGATTCACGCTCTTCGACACCACAACATGGACCGTGTTCTACCAGCATGATGTGTAATTGATGATGATGATCATATGCATTGGATGAAAATCACAATCATGGGTACTCGTTTGGAACGAGTGACTGGATGACCCGCATGAGATTGTCATATGGACATGAGTCATGACTTGAATCTCATACAGCGGTTCGTCTTGGATCCTCGGACCTGATATGTCTAGAGTATCTGGTATGAGGAGTGGCGTGTCTTGACTGCGTCAAACGTCGTCTTTAACCGGATGATTATAACGGCGTTGATCAGATACGTTCACGAATCATATGGAGATAGTAGACATGCAATATGGCACTTGTCACTTCCTTAACAGGAGAGATGTCGCTGAGCCCCTCGTAGAAATCGGATTGTGAAAATGCGTGGCCACGCTATAGATGAAATTACATCTATTTTATCAGTCGATTTGCCAAGACGAGTAAGCGGTTGAACTTGAAGGGTGGCTCATACCATGCCCTTGTTCAACATATGACATCGTGAGACAAAGGATCAGAACTTGAACTATTGCTGGCTTTGGTAGATCACCTCTAACTTTATTCTAGGTGGGTGGCCATGGCGTCTTGCTAGAGGCTAACCATGACTTGTGGTTCGGGAAAGAGATTCCGAAGCCACTACCACTTCGAATGGGCCTACGGATCACACACCATTAGGGATGGATCCCACGTGAAGAGAACAACACGAGAAAGGAACGACGGAACGATTTGGAAGAGTTCCAAATGGCCAGACTGTCTGGTCCAGACCTGGACTGGACGGTTTAGCTGTTCCGGACCGTCCGTTCTAGTGAAAATGGACTGTCCGTTCCGCAAGGACCAGACCTCCGGTCCAAACCTGGACCAGACGTCAGGCGTCAAGACCGTCTATTCTGCGAGCAAAAACGGAACGTCCGTTCCGCGTAGAAGCTAGACCGTCTGGTCCAGACCTAGACCGGACGGTCCGACTTTCGGGAAAATTTCTTTTTCGCGATTTTTAGGGTTTAGGTAATCCTATTAATGATGGGAGCCGCCACAAACCCTAGGTAATCAGCCTAACACGTCCTAGACACTTCCTAGAGCTTTGGAGAAACTTGCTCTTGAGTTCAAAACATCGGAATATCGATTCCAAGTCAAGGACGTCGTTTTCTCTTCACAAATCCTAGCAGATACATTCCAAACTGTTGGAATTCATCCCGCCGGTGTGGATACGTGTAGAGGAGTTGTGCTTTCAACTCTTGGTGATTAAAATAGGCCCTGGATCGATTGATACTTCCAGATCTTGATAGGACGAGGTAAGTATTCGAATCCCACAGTGATATACACGTTCTTTCGGGTTATTGCACAATTGGTTTTGTGTGACGTTTGGCTAGGTTTAGATCTTTTTCTTCTGCTGCATGAAACCTAGAAACCAAACCCTAGATCGATGAGATCGCTTGCTAGAAACCCGCAGGGAACCCAACAGTGGTATCAGAGCCTGGTTCTCTGTATATCGCCGTGCATGTTGCTTGTTTGCATGATTTTAATTGTTAAAGTGCATGTAAACAATAGATCTTTGTTTGTTTGCATGATTTTAATTGTTAGAATGCATGTAAACTATAGATCTTTGCATGTTTCCATGGTTTTAATGGTTAGAATGCATGTAAACATTAGATCTATGCGTGTTTGATGATTTTGGTTGTTGAATGATGCATGATGAGCGAGGGTTCTTGGGAGGTTTGACGGTGCATCGAAACGGGGATGAAAACCCTAGTTTTCGGGACCCGAAACCGAGATCCGAAGTCTGTCCGTCGTGTGGACCGATCAGTCCAGAGTGTAGACCGATCGGTCTATGCGTGACGGCGGTTGTTCCTTTTAGGTCAAATTAGGTCAGACCGAATGGTCCAAGGGTTGGACCGACCGGTCTGGACCGATGACCACAAGAGGATGTCGGATCACGTTCGACAGACCAACCGGTCTAGTCTTGGAACCGATCGATCCGGGTCTGGTGGAACGTTCGGTCTTCGGGGTCGGTCTGCACTCGGTCCGAGAGACTGGACCGATCGGTCCAAAGGTTGGACCGACCGGTCTAGGACTTCGAGACCAGTGATCAGTCCGTTCGGTCCGAATAGGTCCGGACCGATCGGTCCAAATGTTGGACCGATCGGCTTGGGTCTCGGACCTAGACCGAACAACTCAGAACGGTCTGAGCTTGTCAGACCGATCGGTCCACAGGCTGGATCGGTCGGTCTGGACCTCAGACAATCCGGGATTCCAAAATTCAGGCTTTTGATCGAACAATCGTTGTGTCGGATCAATTATCAGAATTGGAATCAAAGTCTCACGTAAGACCAAGCTCGATGACAATCCAGAATTCAGAGTTTTGATTGTGCAATCGTTGTCTCGAATCAAATATCTGAATTAGGATCTTGAGAGGGTTCTGGTATCGAATCTAAGGCAAACAATTGTTGTTTGGCCAAGGGATTCTGTACATAGACGACTCAATCGAACTAAGAGTAGTTCAACTGAGTTGATCAGAACAACTTGACTGGAATGACTTGAATTCAGTCAAGGTATCCTAATGTTCAAGTCAAACTATGCCTCATGCAATCTCAAGCTATTACCGCCCATTAATAGAGCAACTGTCAAGGCCTCGATCATCATGGTTACGGGTCATACCCTAGTTGAACGTGCCTGACTATCTTGGTGAGGCAGTATGGAGAAATCGTGACTCTCATAGCTCAAATATAGTTGAGCTTTAATTGGGTTATCAAGTCGGACTTGGACCTGATGGTAAGGATAGGATGAGGAACATGCAGTGATAGCGTATCACTTCTCCATACTCATCTAGGAATCACATAGGATATGATTGACAAAGTGTTGTCTACCTAAATAGCATGGTTTTGAGCGGCATGCCCTAGCTGACACAAAAACATGTGAAATATGGATCCTAACTCACTTAGAAACTCATTGAGGGTGTTTTCTTAGTGGGAGCCTGTCATATTGCATCTATTGTCTGTGTTAGTAGGAGTACTAAGCGATGTGTTTATTTTCTGTCTGTTTGTCCTTTTCTGTAGTGCATATCTGTTGCAGGAATCTGGTTAATCTCACCATGCGATTTATCCTTATGAAGGATAAGCCTCTGACCACAGCTTCTGGATCGATCATTGATGCTTATTGAAAGCATGAGGATGATCTGGACGTGTCCAGCTTGATGCTTGGAAAGATGTCTTTGGAATTGTGTGAGCAATTAGATGACATGGACAATTCATTAATTGTTGATCAGTTGAATATGTCATTCCAAGAGAAAGTTGGGAGCCAAGGTAAGAATGATATGGTGGTTGTTGGAAAGAGTTCCAGCAAAAGGAAGCGTTCCAAAGGTAAGGGCAAGAGGAAAGTGACAAGTGTGTTGT